CTCCTCAAAGAATTTAAGAAATGAAGAGCAAGTGGCCATAATTCAGGCTTCCACTGTATTGTCTTTGGCAGAAAAGGTAATGTGTGTGTTTGCTTTTCTTGTGTGTTATCTAAGTCCTCATCTCACCCTGGAAATTTTATTTTCTTTAGTTTTCAGTATTGTCAAATTTCCTAATATAGGAAAATTTCTACCAAGAGAGTAGTTTCCCCAAAGAAGTAAACTGTACCAGCAGCAGTATTTTATAATACTGCATGTCAGCCAAAGATTTTGCAATAATAGGAATACCTTAGTGTAACCACAGACCTAAACATTTTTGGTAAAACAGCAATAATATCAAGTCAGAACAGCAGAAAATGCAAAAAGAATTGTGAACTGAATTGAGAAACCATTAGACATTTAAGCTATAATTAGCGCAAATACCTGAGATTTCTAGTCCTGAGATTTCCAAAGATTCTAGAGAGACCTGTATGCAAAATACCCACTGAAAATGTTTGTCTAAATTCTTTGTTTGGGAAATTAGAAAGAAAAAGAGAGTTGATTAACACTGTTTTATTTGTGGCTCAAATTTGTGGCAACTATTTCAGCAAGATGACCTACTTATCAATATGAACCTGCTTAGCAATTTTCCCTATGCACAGGGAAGCACCATCTACCTAGCTAAGATACTTTCAGATGCCACAACCTCAGGGACCCTAACCCACAGGATGTCATATTATCCACTGCCTATCCGAGGCATCCTAACCCACAGGATGTCATATTACCCACTGCCTATCCGAGGCAGTGTGCTTTTCCATCTTTGAATAACCCAAAGGTGAGCCTCTGGCTTCCTCTCCATCAAGTATCACAAATAGACCTCACAACTATACCACTGAAAGGAGAACAGCCTCAAGAAGGGCCCAGTAGTAGTAATAGGTAACTACAAATAGACTGATAAGATGATGGAGATACCCATTTGCCACTACCTGAATGCCTAGAAAACACAACAGGTTACAATTCTTGCTGTCTGTCCTCCAGTGGATCCAGCAGATTGAGGGAGCTGAAGCTGCTCTGCACCAGAAGATGATGGAACTGGAAAGTGATATGGTAGGGAAATTTTTTTTGGATACACATTTTAGAAACAGGCTGTTGAGCGTGTTGCATTTATTCTGTGTGCCAAACATTCATTAAAAGAAGGTTTCTTGGCAAATTAAGCAAGCAGGCTTCATCGGAATTTTATGGTGAATCCATAAACTTTACTAATTCGCTTCATATAAAAATGCATAATCTCAGAGAAATAGAAAGTTGTCTGAACACTCTCTTTCCGTGAGGAAGACTGTTTATTACTAAGCATAGAGGGCTCAAGGATACTCAGTGACTTTCAGATATGAAAAAGACTACAGTCTTTGCCTCATGTTCCATGTAGATCAAATCCTACCAATGCATACACAGCTATTTTCCCTTCCTAATTTTCTAGCTAAGATATTAATAACTCCGTAGAAAATCAAATGAAGACCAGTCTCATAGTCCTGCCCAAGTCAGACATCTGTAGTTGATCAAGTAACACTTCCCACAGTATTTTGAGTAACTAATTCTTTTTTTTTTTTTTGTCCAAATTATCCTTCATTGTAGGAGCAATTTTGCAAAATAAAAGGTTATTTGGAGGAAGAATTAGACTACAGGAAGCAAGCTCTTGACCAAGCATACATGGTATGTACGAAGGAAATGCTTTGACATGACACAAATTCCTGTAGAATCAGTAAAAGAGAATTTTTTGTATTTCCTGAGTATATACATATATTTTAATTCTGGCTTGTTTTTTCCCTTTCTGCTAGCTTGCTAGCATGCAGTCTAAATAGCCTCAACATGCACTTTGCTTTTTCACACCATAAAATGCAGGGTTTGTGGAAGTCAGAAACTCTTTTGTCTATTTAGAAGCAGATGTTCATTAAATTCAGGTTGTCCCACTGCAGTCAGTGCAACCAGTTGGAACTCAGATCTGGAATCTTAGATGACCCCTTAAGCACATGCTGTGTGTGCTAAGTGCAACATGTGAAACATGCCACAAACAGCGAGAGCTTTGCTGTAAAACGCTGCTGTATCAGAGAGGACTGCATGTAGGTGCAAGTTCAGTGTGTTTCATTTGTCTTACTAAGAGCACTCATTGATTAATGGAATTAAGAGCATTGCAGTCTGATATGCTGACCTTCAATCTTTCTTCAGTTTTTTTTTACCAGCGTAGGTCAAAATTTTAGATTTGGTAAAATATTCATCTTTTTCTAATTATAATTAGAAAATAGGTATGAAAATTCCATCTGGCTCTAGATCTTCTCTGTAAGTGTTTAAAAAATCAGTGAAGGATTTCTGTAATTAATATTGAAATATCACAAAAAGAAAAGCCCATATGTATTTTTTGTGTGTGTGTGAAAATACTGAACCATTTTTATGAATTCTGCATCTCACTTTTTTTCGCGCTTGAGCATAGGGACCACCTCTCATGCAGGTATCTGAATCTGTCACTAACCCTTCTCCCATTCCCTCCATCTCTAATTGACTTCTGGTTTGTATTGACCAGAGAATCCAGGAGCTTGAAGCCACCTTGTACAATGCTTTGCAGCAAGAAACGGTGATAAAGTTTGGGGAACTGCTCACTGAAAAACAGCAGGAAGAGCTGAGGACAGCAGTGGAAAAACTAAGACGTCAGATGCTGAGGAAAAGCAGAGAATATGATTGCCAGATTCTTCAGGAGAGGATGGAGCTGCTGCAGCAGGCTCATCAGGTAGGACACAGGAATCAAGCACATGTGGATCTGTTCAGTTTTGTTGTAAAAGCTGAGGTCAAACTGAGGCAAGCTGCAGGTTCATGTGTGAGCCTGGAGTCTAGTTTTTTGAGTTATGGATTGTGTCTTTACTAGGCACACAGCTGCACACAATATTATTTTGTGACGGATTGTTTTGGCATATTTTAACTCTTAAAATTCCAAACCAAGTGGATTTAATCCAAAATTCTGTCTCCCTGAATCCAGCTTTGTAATGCACATGGTCACCCCTAGTTATTGGACTTGGAACAGGTGGAACTGTATGAGAGCATCTGGCTCATGTTACGTAGCAGAGCCATTTCTTTTTCCAGATACTGCTGCTCTTTCTCTCATAAAAGTGGGTAGTAGGGGGTTTATCACTGAGATATAATGCAACGTTTTCCTTCAAAGACCAATGTGTGCTGATCTGAGATCCCAAGGCAGAATGGCAAGAAATCATCATATGACAATAAAATGAAACAAAACCTACTCACCTGTCAAGGCAGAATGGCAAGAAATCATCATATGTTAATGATGACAATAAAATGAAACAAAACCTAATCACCTGTCGTTTATGGGAATAAGAGAAAGAGCATGTACAGTGGATAGGGTTTTTGTGTCAGGCGTGAAGATGTGGTTTTCACACTCCAGCCTCATTGTGAGTTGAAGACTTGAAACTGATCCACCTTATTTCTGGTAAGTGCCCTTCTTACTGGACTTTTGTGGAGTGACTTCTTGATTTCAGCAATGACTATTGACTTGATTAACCCAAAGGAGTTCTGGCTTTTTTGAACAACTCTTATTTAACCTCTGTTGTTGATGGGGCTGGGAAAAGATGAGAGGTAACAAAGGGAAGAGGCGGTGTTTGAAGGCTGCCATCTGCTGATTCTCTGATCTCCAGACAGCTGGGAGGATGGTCAGAGAAATGCCATCTGCGCTCCAGGTGTCTCCTGGTTTGCCCTTCTGGCTTTCTGCTCTTTGCTGGCCCACAAGCTTACTCCCTGACTAAATAGAGAAAAGATACAGAGATTCATAGCTTCATTTTTCATAGGTGGTAATTTTGTACTGTCTTTGTGTTTTTTTTTTTAACAAAATGTGGAAACTTTCCCCAAAATTCAATTCATGTTACATTTTTAATAGTACTTAGCACTCTTTAAAATTACACCTCAACAACAAATTACATGTTTCCAGCTCACCACAGAATCAATATTTTCGTTGTACCATATACTTCTATCATTCCAAATCACATAACAGTGCTTTAGAAGTATACAAGATGGTCCCTGCCAAGAAATGAATCTGTTCACATCTAGGCTTTTAGCACTTGGGACATCAAGACACTTATTCAGCAGAGCAAGCCTACTAGGAACTTGGTCTAGATGTTTTCTTTTCTAATTTCCAGAGGATCCGAGATTTAGAAGACAAAACTGACATCCAAAAGAGGCAAATCAAGGATCTGGAAGAAAAGGTTAGTTCTGTTATGTTTCTGAAGCAAAGCAATCATTTTTTTTTAGTCATGATCTAACTTTCTTGAACTAAAGGTTCTGTTTTGTTTAACTGGATCAGTTGGACCCTGTTAGTATCTTTCTACTGTGCTTGCTTTTCAATTTGTGACTTTTATTATATCCAAACTTTAATCTTAGAGTCTCTTCTACAACAAACTGTTTCATTTTAGGAAATAAGTGATTACATTATGAACACTTTTAGTTAAAGGGAATTATATTGGACCAAGTGATGAAACCTTTCCTTGGTTTGGTTGTTACATGCTGTCTTGGTGGACAGTTCTTCTATTAAAGCAAAGGTGAGGCTAGCAAGCAGGAAAGACCAAATGAAACTGAGTGAAGATTTGAAGACTGCCCTTACTTGGCAGGTCTAGGGAACCAGGTTCTCATGCTGTCCTCTACTGAAGCTTACCATTGACTATGCAGTCAGTAGAGTACAGTAGAAAATCTTGCCTATAAATGGAACTATATTCTTTATTTTTATACTTAACCCACTTAAAAAACGTCCCATGCTATGTTTGATATCCAGATTTGTGTCTTTGAGCAACCCATCATAGTTTACAGTGACAAACAAAGCTAAGGCTTTCAAAATGGTGCTGATTATAATTAATCTCCAGAATTCATGCAAAAATGGAATCTGTTTTCTAAACCTGGAGATGGTTTGGCACTTACAGGAGCAGCTAGGGAAATACAGTGTTCTCTAAATACATAATTATTTTAATTGTTCTGCAGAGTACAAAAAGAACTGATCCTGATGCTTAAAACACCATGACATCTTGTTTTTACACTGTCTTCTTTTTCTCCTGCAGTTTCTATTTCTATTCTTGTTCTTCTCTCTTGCCTTTATTCTTTGGCCTTGATGTCAATGTGCCTCTTGGAAAGGTAAGACTACTTCGCTTATTTCCTTGAGGCCAGTGCTTCTTGCACAGACCTGAGGATCAGATCCTTGTATGTTATATTGTATCTCAGAATTCAGCAGATCAGTGTCAATTTGCAGCAGTTCACAATGAACGGTGGTCACTGATCAGCTGTCTCAAGAGTTACAGTCAGACCAATGCTATCCAACGCACTTAAAAGTGAGCTGACAAAGTTTTCTGATGATCATGAACTATTCAGAATGGTAAATCCCAGTATCAAACAGTGAAGGGAATTGCAGATGAAATTCAGTACTGATGTTTGCAAAGTGATACAGCTAGGGAAAAAAGTTTTCAATCTCAACTTTGTAGACATCATGATGGGCTCTGAACTGACTGCTACTACTCAGATCAGGAGAGTGTAATAGACAAAGCTATAAAACATCAGTGCTCAGAACTAGGAAGAGTACCAAAAATGGCAGGAAAAGGGGGATCAGCAACTGAGGAAAAGAGGGAACAGGTGACTTCTTGGGCTCAGAAAGAGAAACCCTATGAAAGGGAGGTGTGGAAGAGGTCTGGAAAACTCGTTGGGACAGAATGCCTCAAGAGGTTGCTGTGTTCACTACCTCCTCCAGCACAAGCATGTCATAACATAACTTTGGAACAAAAACACTGGAACAGCTGGAAGTTCAGAGTTCAAAAAGCAATGGGAATGTGAGGAAATAAATCAGGCAGTTATGATGTGTTTGGCATTATATTTTTCTCTCCATTCCTGGCCACATTCAGAACAAGCATGCTGGACTAGTGTATGTTTTTGGGTTTTTTATCTTACCCAGTATAAATGAAGTAGAACATGTCCTTGAGTTTTTAAATACAACATTATCCAGGCTGTGTAATGACAGATCAGATTTTTTTGGCTGCGGACTGGCCCATAGTGTTAAGTTTCTCACTGTAACTCCTGGTTCCATAGACCATGTCAGTAAATAAACTTTTCTGCCCTGCGCTTGAGATGAACTGAGAATGAATCGCTGCATAAGACGTTTTTACCGTGTCCTTCATTTTTATGTCCTTCATTCATACCAGCTTAGCGCTTGTTTCCAGATACACCTCAAGATATTGG